CAAATGTTCACTTACGAAAGACTTAGAATATTTTCAAAAGCAATTTATCTCATCGTTTTTGTTGGATTGATATTAGTAGCCCGTAGCCCGTTAAATGTTAGGAAAACTAATTTCAGTCGACACTTAGAAAGAAATCGATGCCGGGCTACTAGCATGAGGTAGCCCGTGATTTTGACAGGTAGCCCGTTGGTAGCACGTCGTTTTTGTTGGGATTTATATTAGTAGCCCGTAGCCCGTTAAATCTTAGGAAAACTAATTTCACTCTACACTTAGAAAAATTCGATGCCGGGCTACAGCAGGTACACGGTGAAATGTTGGGAAAACTTTTTTTACTGTACATGCCCAATATTTTACAAGAGCACAATCCTCACATTTTATTTAACCCTTTATATAAATCTAAAGTTAGTTTATTGAAAATGTTCATGATTTATGTAGCTTTTAACGCCACATACCAATACAATTCATCTTTCTAATCTCAATTGCGCTTCAAGGGATTCTAAGTTTTCAATATTTAAAAGTGTATATGTGGGCTAGGACAATTGTAGAGCCCGAAAGCTGTTAACTAATGGCACAGCTTTATGTCTTTGATACACATTTACCTTGAAAATGTATTGTACGGTGCAACAATAAGCGTTATGCACGAATGAGTTTATGTAAAGTACAACGTCTGATTGTGCGTTATAAGCAGCTTTTTTAGTTGGTGTTGTTCATTTTTTAATGCCACGTCAACGTGCTGGAAGGGTGGATTGGAAATCGGTTGATGGAGCTTTTGACAAACGAAGAAGACCGCATTTGCAACAAGACAAGAATCACTTATATCGTTGTCCTGTAAATGGATGCGAACACCCTGGATTTAGCAGTTGTCGCGGTTGCAGGAAGCATGTTTACGAAAAGCACGCTTGGTATAAATATTTCGATCAAAAACCTATTGTTATTTCAAATACTGTCAAAGAAAAAGGCAATGTAATCACATCAAAAACCAAACATACAATTCCTTGTTGTTCTACGGAAAATGACGTATGTCGTTCCCTTTCGGTGTGGTTACAAAGTATACGGCTGGGGGCGTCTGAAAAGCAATCACAAATTTCAGTGACAAGGGCTCTCAAGTTTATAACATTTTGTTGTTCTGAAACGGGCGAGGACGAATTGAATGCGACTTCCTCTTTAGAAATTATAGATTATTTCCTTGGTTCTTCGAAGTTGTTAACGGGTTTCCTTGATTATCTTCAGGGTACTTAGAAAATGGCAAATTCCGGCCAATTAGGTTACATAACAAGCACATCTGAGCTGTTAGATTTTCGAAAGTTTAACTCTCCCTCCGGCGCCGTACTGCAAAATTTCTGTGTTACTGAAGTTTACATCAAGAGCGCAAAGAAATGTTTGTCAAAAGTAATGAGGTCGCACTGGACGACAGATCTTGACATAGAAACACTTGAATCAAGACGGAGTTGGGCAAGCTTAGCCGAATTCCAAACTGTAATACCCTTCCATATACCACGTTATAAGATTATATTGGACGAATGCAAAAACAAATCACCTGTTGTTAGCGCAACGAATCTTACATTTGCTACCCGATTCCTAGCAGTATTTATCTTTTATAAGTATAAAGGCTGTAGGCCTATGACGTATCTGCATTTGACGGTTAGCATGTTTGAGAGTGCAAAACGAAATAAAGGAATGGTCGATCAAACCACATTCAAAACTGCCAAAAAGTATGGCTTTGATTCCTTATATTTTGACGAAATTAGTTTGGATGTTGTTGACAATTACGTTGGCTATGTTAGGCCATTGCTGCAACCAAGGTGCGACTATTTGCTCGTCAATCGTAATGCCATTCAATTTCAAAAATTAACAGAAATCTTAAGTATATTAGTCTTTCAGGCAATCGGAAAATACGTTCATCCCACAAGATACAGGCAAATCATTGAAACTGAAAGTGTGCAAATCCTCAATGTAGAGGAGCAGAAGTTGGTTTCTGAAGATCAAAAGCACAGTTCGAATGTCGCCCGAGTGCATTATCAGCAATTGCGTTCTCGAGATGTAGCTATCAAAGGGCTAACGTGTATGGAAAAATTGCGTGGCTTACACGGGCTTAAAACAAGAACATTGTTCCGACCACGAATCAAAAAGTGATATCGAAACCACTCCCTTACCACAAATGCCGACAGAATAGGTTTCTGCAGAGAAACGCAAACCCCTGAAATTCACGAAAGAAGAGGATCAATTTATAGAAAGGGGAAATAAAAAGATTTGGTGCACGATGGTGCTCAATCCTACGACATCCAGAATATAACTTCCAACCTGGTAGAGAAGCTAGGACACTTAGACTTCGCGCAATTCAACAAAAACTTATCTAGTGTATTTCACTCATGTACCTTGTAAATATAAGTTTGCTTTGTGAATAGTTGAATAAAATTTGTGAAGTTCTAGCTATTCCTTATTTATTTGTTTCTTAAACGATTCCACGCAAAACTAAATGCATTCTCGGTTGCCTTATTTTCTATTCCCGCGACTATAACACGTATAATACTTTTGCTTTCAAAATAGTTGATCAGTCTAATTTATAAATCATGTTGAAGCATAAAGTTTTCACAAACTGCAGATCCATTTAAGGTGAAATCTCTTTCATATACAACAGTGCAATTCTCGTGAATATATAATATACTTCATGGAGAACAACACAATATATTACTGCTCTTCACTATGTTATAATAGTTAGTATCGACATCGATTGAAATATCTTCATACAATACCGATCAAATAATCGAAAACTGACTTTGCTGAGGAAAGGTTGCATGCTAATTATTGGGCAAACCTTTAGAGTTTAGTTCCGAAAATAGGAACGTATATTCTTGTTCCTATCTCGCGTTATATTGCAACTTAAAACTTTGGCTCCGAAACGGAACGAATGTTTCCTAAAGTGTAAAAAGGAATGAGCTGTTACGCTCTAGTTTGTTCCTTTATAAAAGGAACCGAGTTTTTGTCCCCCCAAACAATGACGACACTAAACGTTCCGCTTCATATCGTTCCGAAAACCAAAACAAGTCAGATAAACATATGCGCCCAGAATTTAGTTTGCCTCGTTTGTTCCGCTAATGACACTAACGTTGCAATTTTCCGTCGCATTACAAAATAAGTAATGATATTCATACTTATCAACGACGATTAGCGTTAAAAGCCTACAACAAAATTGTACTAAAGCAAAAAACATCACTTAAAATTGAACAAAATATATGGAAATGATAATGATAATAATGATATGATAATGATAATAATGATAATGATAATGATAAATAATAATGATAAATAATAATGATAAATTATAATGATAAATGATAATGATAAATAATAATGATAAATAATAATGATAATAATAATGATAATAACAATGATAATAATGATAATGATAATAATAATGATAATAATGATAATAATGATAATAATGATAATAATGATAATAATAATAATAATGATAATGATAATAATAATGATAATAATGATGATAATGATAATGATAATGATGATAATAATAATATTAATAATAATGATAATGATAATAATGATGATAATAATGATAATGATGATGATGATGATGATGATGATGATGATGATAATGATGATAATGATTATGATAATGATGATAATGATGATAATGATGATAATGAAGATAATGTTAATAATGATAATAATGATGATGATAATGATAATGATGATATGATAAAGATGATAATGATGATGATAATGATAACGTTGCAATTTTCAGTCGCATTACAAAATAGGTAATGATATTCATACTTATCAACGACGATTAGCGTTAAAAGCCTACAACAAAATTGTACTAAAGCAAAAAACATCACTTAAAATTGAACAAAATATATGGAAATGATAATGATAATAATGATAATAATGCTTATGATAATGATGATAATGATGATAATGAAGATAATGTTAATAATGATAATAATGATGATGATAATGATAATGATGATAATAATAATAATGATAATAATAATAATGATAATGATAATGATAATAATAATAATAATAATAGTGAAATCTGTCAATATCTTTCGACACAAAACCTAGAGTGGTTACTTCAAGTGTAATAACTTCAAACGCATAACACGTCGTGATCAGCTCAGATCTTAGATGTATGTATCTTTCTTTCTTGCGACGTTTAGCCTTTGTACAATAATTGGTTTCGTAGGGAACAGTTAATTCAACCACATATACAGAACCCTTAAAATCCACCACTATATCAGGTCTTAGCGTTCGAAATAAAGTTGAAGTACACGTCGTACCTGAATTAGGACAGTCCGCAAACAGTCGAAAATCTGCACCAACTGCGATTATTAAGTGATGAATAATAGTCATCAGAATCGAGTCATGCCGTCAAGTATAGCGTTGTTGTTCTAGGGCTACCTTGCAGTTGGAAAAAACGTGTAGCTGGGTTTGTAACATGTTGCACAACTCACAATTGGCGGAGTCACGAATGTTCCAGCGCTTTAGATTAGAATTATTTCCTAAACTTAAAATTAACGCTCTCCTAGCTAAGCATGCTATATTGCTGGGCATTCGAGTGACAATTTCGTGCCATACTTTAATCATCTTCTTATAGCAAGTATCAGTTAAGCAGGTAATGATCACGGATTGTTCTTTTAGTTCTACAAAGTTTGACCAAATTTCGTTAAGGTTTTTCATTACGAGAATTTTTTTTGCAGCGTTTCTTAACATATATTGTTCAGAGATACCAGCAGCCGCCCGTTCAATAATATCATCAGTGACGATGTTTTTTGATGACGTTTTGGTATATAGCTGTTAAATATCGGAGTTGACAGAAGTCCTCAAGATTCTGCGCACTGTCAGTTTACATTGATTATATATGTCAGAGGGGAAACAGAAATCAATTCCCAGTTGTAATTTAGGAAGCTTTAGATGGCTAATGTTACCGCTGATTGGGATCTGATAATGATAATGATGATGATAATGATGATGACAATGATGATAACGATGATAATGATGATAACGATGATAACGATGATAATGATGATAATGATGATAATGATGATAACGATAATGATGATAATGATAATGATAATGATGATAATGATAATGATGATAATAATAATGATAATAATAATGATAATAATAATAATAATGATGATGATAATGATGATGATGATGATAATGATGATGATAATGATGATGATAATGATGATGATAATGATGATGATAATGATATGATGATGATAATGATGATGATAATGATGATGATAATGATGATGATAATGATGATGATGATGATAATGATGGCAATGGCAATGGGCAATGGGCAATGGGCAATGGGCAATGGGCAATGGACAAAAGATGTGCAAGTTTTCTGTCATGCATGTTTTTATCAATCTTTGCTTCAAAAGTTCCTTCATTCCTGGCAATCAGCCATATTTCTGAGATTATCACCAATGCATAGCCATGCGCCCACGATCATTGATGAACTTTAGGCTTAGTACCCTCGCCACGGGCTTCGCCCTACGCGCTACGCGCGTGTCTCGGGCATTAGAGAAATGTAGTAACTGCTGTGTTTAATTTAAAGAACTTTCTCAATACGTTTTTGTTAGCGAAAGTCGAAATTCCAAGGTAAATTTTGCAATGCTTTTTGCTATTAAAAGCAGTCAAGAATAGTCGTGTTTCTGACATAGAGCTGCAAATTTTATTTCCAGATGGGCATGAGGAATTTGACACCATCTAAATCGAAATACAATTACAGCTACAAGTTTATAGTTTTTTCCTGAAAATTTCTGTTTTTGTTGGATAATTAAAAAGAGACATATGAAATGAAGGTCCCGTTTGCACTATACCGGATTACATCGGAGCGGAGCGATTTTCACACCGGATTCGACTGTTGTTTACACTACGCCACGGTAATCCGGTGTGCGACAAGGAGCAAAAATCACTCCGATTTGGAGGTAATATGAAAAATAATCCGGTATGTGCCGGAGCAGTGTAAACAGGCTGATCAATTATTGGCGCTAAATTTGTAATATATTATTGGAAGACGAAATAAAATGGTAGCCTTCAAACAATTGATTATACTTTCTCTTGCGGCAGCAAGCGTCCTTCAAATAATGGCTAGTCTTTTTTTGTCTGTCGAACTAGCTGCTATTTGTAAAGGCGACGATTCTGGTAAACATTCGTAACTTTGTGCAAAACGAAAGGAAAAAAGATAACGTAAACAACGAAGATTTTGGGTAAGACCAGGACGGAGTGATGCTTGGTGGAAAAGTTTCATTAGCGACGTTACACTGCCAGAAAAATGGAGCTTTGGCTTTCCCCAGTGCTTAGGTGCTGTGGATCGTATACACACATTCCGATCCAGCATCATATATAAACCGAAAAGGGTATCACAGCTTAAATGTACAGGCTTGTGTGGACTATAGATATTTCTTTTTTGTCGTGGTAATAAAGTGGCCTGGAAGCCTACATGATGCACATGTGTTTGGAGACTCCGCAATATATTTGAAGTTTGTGCAAGCAAGTTATTGTTGGGGGCGAGCAAGAAGTACCTGTTTGTCTGTTAGGTGATCCAGCCTACCCTCTTTTACCATACTTAATGAAGGAATTTTTTGGAAGGTGGTGGCACTGCTCAGGACGAATTCGTTGGATACTTGGATATCGATATTCATTAGCACGAATGGTTGTTGAATGCGCCTTTGGGCGACTGAAAGCAAGGTTTGGTATTCTACAACGTCCTATGAACCTCAGCATGGACAGCTTACCAAAAACAAATTATGTTTTATTTTGCACAAGGTTTCTGAGATGCACAATGAAACAATTCCTGATGAACTTGCCGAAGCAGTGCAGCTATATGACAGAGAGTTTCAACCTTCCAGAGCAGAAGCACCTGCTCAGATGCTTATAACAATGAACAAGGTGGCAAAGCAATTTTTAGTAACTATATCAAATATTTTGTGTAAAATATTTAGACATTTTCTCAATAATTACAGAATAAATTTTATGAAACCTGAAAAGTAAACAAGAAAAATCATTAAGAACGTTCATCGTTTAAATGTTCATAGTTTATGATATAACTACATTTAACAGAACAGTTTCTTTAAAACAAAATGAAATGTTATGTAAAATTTTGGTTCCATGGTCTTGGGTTCTATATTAAAACGTTGTTTTAATCTGACTCTGTATCTGGTGTAGTGTTTGACATTTGAAGTTTAAGGAAGCAAGCAACTAAAAATGGAAACATCATGTAAGTGATTGAGAACCATCACGGGAGTTGTATTCTGTGTGGGCTATACATTCGGGCTATGTACTGTAGTTGTGTGTTTAAAAAGTAAAAAGAAAAGCAATAAAATAAGGCAATCGAGCGGTAAACGAAGTGGAATATTGGTCAAACTCGCCGACACACACACACATGCGTATCTCTGAACACCAAGGGTGGGTTGACTACAAACTTTTTGTAGTTCGCTATAACTACAGCTACTTCAAAAATATGTAGTCAGCTGCAACTACTGCTACTTTTGAACAATAGTAGTTCGCTACTGACTACAGCTACTGCTTAAAAAATGTAGCGAATTATTTCGCTATTTCGCTAAGCAATATTTTTTAATTTTACTGTATTTGGGGCATCTACTAGCTCAGGCTGTAATGTAATCTATATAACAAATCGACTTACGAATAAGATGGCATGCACAACTACTTGGCTACTTTTAGGCAAAATGTAGTTCGCTATAACTACAGCTACTGTTTTAAAAAACTACTGGCTACTTGAAAATTGTAGTTCGCTACAGTAGCGAACTACAACTACTTCGCTACTACCCACCCTTGCTGAACACATGGGCGTTTCAACTTTGACTGGAAAGAAACGTTCTGTTTCAACCATGTCAGGCATACTCTCTCATATAAACATCAAATTTCACCCTCTGATTTTAAAATCCTTTCCACCGCTACCTCTGAAGCAAGATTTACTTATTCGTTAACGCCTTTTCATATCCTTCAAAACTCATTAATAATTCATGACGAAAGTGTGTTGTATCTAATTTATATGTGATAGAGATTTCCCTTGATTTACATAAATTTAACTTTGATTTTCTCGACTTCCACAACGTATTTTTAAAAATTACTTCGCCAATGAACTTATCACGCTGGTAATATTCAGCAAATTTTCTCATAGTACCGCAGGCTCACATTCTCAGCGGACTTTGAAAAAATTATGAAAAATTGAAACTTTTGCATTTTGCACAGAACTGTCCACTTTTTGTAAGATGTCCGCTGACAATACGAGCCCGCACGAGTGGGAGAAATGTTTGCTAAATTTGACCAACGTGTTAGATTGATCGTTCTTTATATCTGATAAAGCACTGCTAGCTGCTCATGTTTTGAATAGTACATAGGCTTAATCTTATTTTAAATGCCAACATTAGGTCTGGTCTCTAGCTACTAACCGTTATTATATCTTTAATTTACTATTATTTTTAATGATAGGTTGTTTTTCATCCTTTCCTCTTATTCGCTTATTTGAATATTGTAACCGTTTGAAACTATTTGTATATTTATAATACACGCTTGTAAATAATTTTAATTGTTCTGAAGATGTTGTGAACAATACAATGAAACGATAGGCAATACATTTTATATTTTTGTTATGTCTTGTCTGAAAGTCATTTGCTGGGCTTTATTTTTCAATTTTCAATTAGTTTGAACATGTCAAAATGTTGAACACCAGAAGTGTATCGAGCCACCTTAAGACCAAATTTCTGTTTTTAGATAATTGCCAAGTACCCTATTTATTCTTCTCCACATCATCCGGGACATTCTCCTATAATACAGAAGAGTCTACAAGTAGCCCAACCATTTTCAATAACAGTGTAAATACGTTATTTTCCTTTGATAGTATAAACAAACGGTTGTATCGGAGATACGGCAATTGATGAAATTACAAGTTACAACTTGAATGGTTCATATTTGACCACAATAAACATTCAGAATGTGGAATTTTTTCTGTGGATGGTCGGAATAATTTGATATATTATCATCACTCCCTTCCAGAGAGAATATTTGTGTACAATATCACAAGTGGTCAAAGTACTTTAGTTCCAGGTCTGTCAGATGTTACTGGCGTGAAAGATATGGAAATGGATATGACAAATGGGTAAATAGCATTAATTGTTCAATTCTTACATTTTTGCAATTATACTCTATTTTAATTCACCATGGAGTATTTGCATCATACCTTGTGGTAACGCTCACTGGTAATTTTCTTTTCTTTTAATATTATCGTTATGCACGGTTCTAGGCCACGTACAGATAAAAAATGATTAATATAGTATTAAGGAAACAATTACCGACAGACTAAAGTTTGGTACTGAATTAGATTAATAAGGAGTGATGGTTATTTGCGCGAACTGACTCTTTTCTTTTTTTATAGTTATCTCCACATTGCAAAAGCTAGTGATCCAACCATCATACGTTACAATCCCTCTGATCAATCTATTACCCCTTTCAATTCCGCAACTGGTTCAGCGCAATCACTTTCTGTTGATGAATATGATAATGTAATATATTGGGCTAATTTTTACGGAAACAGTCACAGGGTTATGAGAACTCTGCTGAATGGAGAAACAGTTGATTTAAACATAACTTATTCTGGAGTGATTGATGTGACTTCAGATGTGTTTAATTTTTATGTACTGGTCAAAGCAGACAACCAAATTGACCAATACGCGAAGACATCACTTGTAAAGCAAAAGAATGTTACTTATAACGGTGCAATAGAAGATTTAATTATTGCGTATGGTGAGTTCTATTTTTTCCTATGTTTTTGCAAGAAAATAATTTCCTGAAACGAATAAAACAAATCAATTTTAACCCAGCCTCTTTCTGATCTGTTTAAAGTTTGGTTTTGTGTTCCTTTGCCAAGTATCAAGAAAGTGGCTTTTTCACTGTTAGCTGGTTTTAAACTAGAAATTAACGAAATGTTAAAAATTAAAGGAGTTTTGTATATATATATGGAAAATTAGAGTGCAAAGTTTATACATTTTTAGATATAACCAGGAGCAACTGCGAAAAATGCAACTATAGCTATAGTCTCTAAAACCTGTGATTCCACTGCAGCGCCTTAACCAATTGTGCCACAGAGTCAGAGTGCAGTCCTTGAGCTATAAATTCAAGTTCGTGTATATAACACTTTTCTTTTCGAAAAGGCCTGCTTTGCCAGCTCAAAGTTGTCTATTTCGCAAACAAAAAGTAAAAATTGTAAAACAACTTATTTACTTTTCAAATTTGCAATAATTCTGTTTGTGGCAATCATGCATGCGTGCTAGAATTTCTTAATAATTTGTTTCAATTTATATATCTAGACGAAGACGAATGTTGTGTTGGGACTTTCTGTCACGTGAATTCTACGTGCTCAGATTCTCTCGGACGTTATAATTGCTCTTGCAACTGATGGTTCTATTCATGGGAATGGCACGGATTGTGAAGGTAGGCTACATTTTTAGCGGTGTATTATAGCTGTTATTATTCAGAATATTTTACAATAATTTGCCGAAGGCGAAGAGATTATCGGGGAATATTCACCGAGACGAAGTCGAGGTAAATAACAGAATGCGGTTTCCTGATAATCACCGAGGCAGAAGAGAATAATTGTTTTAGTATTTTTACACAAGTCTTTTGTGTTTTTGGGACTGAGTTTATTTTAATTTCGCTTCTATTTCTTTATCAGTAACTTCCACAAAACAGCTAGCAACTTGTATAGGATTTGTTATATTCACTTGTGCAAAAATGACTAAACGAGCTACTGTACAGAGTCAATGGGATATACCTGGAAACAGTTTTTAGTTTCTCTCACTTGGAAAAGACATTTCGATATATTTCAAAATCTACTCACATTTTCTTTATCGTTTTTTGGTATAAAAGATATAACCCTTCATTTCAAACAAATCATTGTGCATCCACCATCATGCATGGATATGTATCTACTTCTACTTCTACTTCTACTTTATTAAATAATTTTTTTCCAAAATAGTGTACAAGAAACCACCTACATTTAGCAAGCTATTCGAGGTAGGTGGCTTTCAATTGATTGATAAATAGTGTATCAATTTATCTTAATAGTATAAATTATCGTAATTCAAATCGGAAGGAAATATTGAAAACAAAAACAAAATTGTCTAATTACATTTAATCCCCGGAACTGTTTGCAATATTTTGGCGAAATCAACGTAATCATCACAAGCCATCATGGTATTAATAAGAATGATCTTGCAACGTGTTGTAAAACTATGTTTATTTAACGAACGGAGTGAGATAGATGGAGCATTCATAACTTTAACACCAGCGTTAGCAAAGGATTTTGTGTAATATGCAAGTATGCAACCTTGACTTAGTTTGATAAAGATTACCGCGAACATCAGATCTTGTATTATAGTTGTGACTTTCACTAATAGTTGTGACTTTCACTAATAGTAGTGATGATGCTCTCGGGTTGTATTTGCCGCCACGTGTGACGTGGGGTCAATGGTCTGTACGAAGGATAAATAAAGGACGGGTTTTATTCTGTTTGTCTTGTTCGATACTGGCCTTTATAACAATCGTAGAACTCATTTGCATAAGATTGGCTGACAGCCGTTTTGTTTGCTTGTCGTTTATTTGACCTAAGCTCAATGGTTCATCCCCACTTGAGACAAATATGCTAAAATATCACATAGTTGGAACAAATGAATATTATAGGATTAAAATCCTGAGCCTATTAACAGAAGTATATCTTAAGGCTGATTTCCACTCCGGCTAATAAGCAGCGGATCGGACCTGATTGGAGGTTTTTCCGATCCGGTCCGATCCATGCAGCAAGCGATTTCCGGTAAAAGGACAAGTGGAATGATAGGATCGGAAAAGGAAAAAATGGGGCTCGTTCTAGTCTCACAAATTACTATTTCGCGCTTTTTCAAAACGGCAGCTGCTCTGAACAAGATGGCCTTCATCTGATTTGGTTCCGTCGTCGCCAGCAAAGGAGAAGCAAACAAGAAAAATACAAAAAGAGCATCTGGATAAGAAAAATTTTTCAGGAAAGACAATGGAAAAGTAAATACTACTTATTGATAGAAGAGTTAAAGCTACCGTGAATATTTTTTAAAGCAATTTCGGTTGTTGCCAAGCAAATTAATTTAAAGAGCTGTTGTACTCTCCAATTCTTGTAAATTCTCCCTCGAATTCTCCAAGAAAGCTCCTAAATTATCTTTCATTTTGTAAATATTATACAGGTATTATTTAATTATTTTAATTTATGTGAGATAATACGGCAATTAGATTCGTCGCCAGGTTTAATCCGCGGACCGGACAAAAATGTTGAAAATATTTCAACTTTTTATTATCCGGCCAGCAACGTCGCCGGATCAATCGGAACCAAAAATTTCTACTGATGGCGCATGCGCGGATTTTGTTTTGTTCTGATCCGGTCCGATCCGCTGCTTATTAACCGGAGTGAAAATTAGCCTTTATTAAGAAAAGTTTAAAAGTGGGCAAGTCGTATATGTTTTGATAAACTTATTGACTTGGGTAAATAAATGGGATCGAATTTGTCTTATTCTGCCCGAAGCACGGTAGCAACTATATCTTATCACAATCAGCGAGATTTACTTTAGAATAATCTAAATAAAAATAATTCTAGAACCGTGTTAAAAGATTTAGTTAATATAATCCATGGTGTGGTCTGCGGTGTGGTCTACCTGAAATGTTTAATAAGGCTACGTTATATTTATCGCCCCAGTCAGCATAGCCAAACAGAGGGAAATGAGACTGTTTTATGTGGCTGAGCGACCGTGTAGTGAAAGATGTCTGATAGGTGTGGTAAACAAAATCATGGAATATTCAAATGGTGTTCACAAATAATTTGCTAAGTACCGATATTACAACATCACGATAACATTGCGATAGTCATATTTATAGTCCTACCTTAGAAACCCACTGATCTCAAAAGTATGGCGAATTTCAGGACTGGATCAGTGGAATGAGTTGAATTTGACAAATAAACGAGAAACACGAAAAAATTGTTTAATGGGATGAGCAGCTTCATAACAAAATATCAGGAAGAGTAGATGGCTGGAAGTCGTAAAACCTGTGCTAACTTCGATTTTAAGATTGATGATGTATTGTTTGCTTTAAAAACTGATGTTGCGTATAACAAAAAAGACAGCGTATATATTATTAATTTAGATTATTAATTAATAAAAAATATTTAATTTAAATAAACAAGATTAGAAAGTTATTTTCATCAGAGCATTTTATAATCGTTATTATCTGAAACTCAAGTTTATCGATAAAAGGCAGTTTATGAACTTTTTAAAACGTTTGACGTAGCGCATGTGCCTCAATTTTACATTAAGTTGAAAATTATTTATTTTTATTGTTCATCTAGATTATATTTACAAAATGTTTTCTAGATGAGTAATAAATATAAATGAATAAACCTGGATTCAAACCCTTCAACGAGTTGAAGATTATACTATAAGCATTATTATAGTGACATACCAAATGTAAATATTTATAAGGAATTGATAATTTTCTAAATTAAAAGTGACATTTTTAGGCCGTTTTCTTTCTATTAAATAATGAAATTATCGTGTTACTATGACAAACACTCAAATATTTAATGTTTGGAAAATATACTGGTTTTGCTAGCTGGGCGAGGGATTTCTGCACACTCAGCGCGGATCTGAGTGGCTAAAATGGCACTGCAGTATAATTTTGTAATCACACGTCTGATTTCCAATCAACATTTTGCACTCCATGTAGTTAAATTACTATTACTATCAATTATCAGCAGCAATGGTCAGCGTGCTTACTGTATCTGTCTCCCATCTATGCTCCCCTTGTTTACAATAATTTCTATGTTGGTCCAATAAAGGTACGCCATGTGCTAGTGCTCCATGTTTCAATGGTGGGACCTGCTCAAATAATGGATCATATTTGTTTGTTCATGCCCTGTTGGGTTCACCGGTGCCCTCTGTGAAATCGAAGGTAACTCGTTTCTCATAGTAGAGATATAAATGCAGTGGTCTTGATTATAAGTACTGTAGGGAGGAAGGACTGGAGTAGAACATGAAAAGTATGCGTAGGTCGTAGTCCACCAATGGAAGTAAAGGAGATAGAAGTGATAATAAAATAAAAGAAGAAAGAATCAACTGTCGAACACATATGAACGAAAAAAATATATTGATTTAGAAAATCTTCATAACAGCCTCCTAGCTAACAAATATCTTCCAACCCAGAAAAAAACAACAAATGCATGATCATGTGCTCAAGGCACCCACTGTACCAAATTGAAGATGATCCCTAAGTAACTTTATGAAAAAATGATGTAAAGTAATTAAGCAAAGCAAACAAAATCACTATGTATTGTCATCGACGAACAGCTTCTTTGGAAAAGTCAAATAAATGAAACTTTTGTCTTTGATATGTTAAGGAAAATAGAATCATAGGTTTCGCAAGAGTCCTTGAAAACTCGCAATGCCATAATATTGGCATATTTTAACTATTTGGTAGACGCGTTTGGGATAACTGAAGTCAATATCTATTAGAAAAAATAGAGAAAGTGCAGACAAAGCTTGCAAGAGTCATAACTGGCAAATCTTTCGATGATCATTCAAATGAGAATGCAAAATCACACGTTCGAATTCACAACTTAAAATCACACATTTTGTTATCAAAGTTTTTCCAACCATATTCAGCACTCCACTCAGTTCTATTACCGTAATACCCTAGGGTCAAAATAATATTCAAGGGTCAGCGTACTAACAGTGTCAGTCACCCACCAATGCTCTCCTTGTTTATAATAATTTATTGACATAAACGTTTAGACCAGTAATAACTTTAAATTTTTGTTCAATAAAGGTAGTCCATGCGATAGTGCTCCATGTGTCAAGAATGGGACTTGCTCAAATGATGGATCATCATTTTCTTGCTCATGTCCTGGTGGGTTCACCGGTGTCCGCTGTGAAATCGAAGGTATTAACTCTTTTATAATTTTATAGATATACAATAGTTTTGCTCGAATTATTATTATTATAAGTCTTTATGCAATCACAAGATAAAGATACATATATTATGTTACATTTTCAAGAATGGAATACTAGTATACTATACTAAATTATATTTAAAAA